CAAATAATTGAAGAGGTTGATGCAAGTCCAATGTCAATCATTTTAAATTTCAATGCAGAATTTCAAACCTTGGGATATTCGAATTGATTGCTAAACAAAAGTTATCTCGTATAATAAAATTTTAGAGTATAATTAGAATTAAAATGAAAAATGATATGATTTTGAGATAAAATGACGGAAAACAAAATGTCAAGTATTACTCAAATTGTTTATTTATTATTGCGAACCCAATGAAAGTTTTCCACAGTGCCATCTCTATCTTGACCAGGTATTTAAACTTTTGCAAGTTCACCTGTCCTATTGAATAAATACAATAGCTATTGTTCTCTGTGTAGTTTATTCTCTGGGACCTTTAAATTTCTTCTAAGAGAAATCTATCATTCATTGATTAAATTACCTGAGTAAAAAAAAATTCTTACATGTAGACAAAAATACTTTTTTTATACTCATTAATTGCGTGTGATGATGTAGTTATTCAATATTAATAATATATTTTCATTCAGTTTAATATAAACATTGATTCAATCATAAAAAGTTAATTTCTGACAAAACTTTCAACATTGTTCCTTTTAAAAAAAAATTGTTTGACATGAATAAGAACTTGAAAATAATGATGTTTCAAATTAAGATCTTCTTAAATGTATTCTATAACCAAACAAAAAAAAAATCAAATTTCAATAGGAACATTGATAAAACTTTTTTTAGAAATCAACTTTTTATGATTGAATCAATGTTTATATTAAACTGAATGAAAATATATTATTAATATTGAATAAATACATCATCACACGCAATTAATGAGTATAAAAAAAGTATTTTTGTCTACATGTAAGAATTTTTTTTTACTCAGGTAATTTAATCAATGAATGATAGATTTCTCTTAGAAGAAATTTAAAGGTCCCAGAGAATAAACTACACAGAGAAAAATAGCTATTGTATTTATTCAATAGGACAGGTGAACTTGCAAAAGTTTAAATACCTGGTCAAGATAGAGATGGCACTGTGGAAAACTTTCATTGGGTTCGCAATAAAGGAAACCACAGTATGACACTTGACTTGAAATGAAACGTATCAATTTTATCAGCTGAACTGTAATCTGTGGGCCGGATTTTCGAAAGTATCCAAAGAGATGTCATTAGAAATATTTTTCTTCATATAATAGGATTATAATAGGATCATCCTATGATATACGTCTTATACTGTAACTCAAAGCTGTTTTAGAAAGGTCTTAAGCAGGATGATGTTATTAGACAATACTTAGTTATATTTACATTATATTTGAATGCATGTTTTTCGTCTTTTACACTAAAACAATATAATTCATTTACTCTCAGGATGATGCACACAACCATAATTACATTACATGCGTGCTTTACAAAAATTCGTTAGATTAGATTTTATTTCCCAATTCATACATTGTAACAGCACGTGCATGGTTTCCTTGCCGTGATAGCAACAGTGCATAACATGAAACTGAACGGAAAAATGATTTCAATGTTGTAGCAAAAATATATAGACAATAACTGTTTAGTGTCTTTAAATATCAGCTGTATTTTGTACGTGGCTAAGAAACAGTTGTAACGCGAGCTTCAGCGAGCTATTTCTCCTGTTTCGAGCCGAGTACAAATACAGATGATATTTTTAGACACTAAACAGTTATTGTCTTTATCCTGCAATTAATTTTGTACATTTTATTTCCCATCCAAATTGTTGAATTAGTTTTTGAAAGAAATCGTCATGACTTAAACGCGGACCGCAATGAGAACCCCAAATTGAACTGTGCCGTAAACAGTAATTTGACATAACCGTTCGCTCGCAACAGAAGCAGAATACCAGAAGACTATATACGTCTAGTATACGTATATCGCTTCGTGTTATCTGTACACCTGTATTACTAATTTAAAAGTAAAAAGGTCGATTGCAGGATAAAACATTATAAGAATAGAATGCATTTATTGTAATTTAATTGGGTAATTAAAGCGTTGATCTGGCGCGCGCTTCATGCAAAGTGTGCTTCGGCCAACGCTTTACGCCCCAATAAAATTACAAAAAAAAGTGTTCAATTCTTAAAATGAAAAGTAGAGGAACTAAATACAGAAAAAATAATTGACCTTAAAATACAGTGATCCAATACCTGATTAAAGTTATGAAATCACAGGTAATTTAGAGGAATACAATACATAAACAATGTGTGCATGTACTTACAATCCGTAGAGTTCATAATCATAGTTATTGTCCGGAGTTATTGTGTGTTCTTAAAAAAGCTGTAACAATCCTTAAGAAGATGTTGTCTCCAAGTTTGTGTTGTTTGTTTTTCCGTTTGTTCTGTTGAGCTCTCGTTTTCAATCTGTAAAGAAATGCGCAACCAAAAATAATTGAAGCGCTGACTGTTCTTGTTTGAAGGGAAACAAGAAAAAGCATGCCGTACGCAGCTACGCAATGTGCGTCTTACCTTTCTTTGTAACTATGTTTATGATGCAAATATATATGTTTACAGTCTTAACAATTAAACTTAATGAAAACAACTTACACTTTGAATATGTATAAATACATACTGCAGATTTATATTACAGTTAAAGGCATGACGATCTTCATTGCAATTATTTAGAATTTAAAAACAAATGATAACTGGTGTGTCATAAATGAACAAACGCCTGTCATTATATGAAAAATTAGACATCGCAAGACATTTGAAGACATATTTATACAGAGTTTTCGAATACATGTAGTTTTTCTGAGTGCTAGTACCATTACTGATCGGAGTTAAATGGTGTATTGTTAGGCATGTTTGCAATAACATAATTATGTGCATTTATTACACTATTGTTTCAGAAAAAGGGTGAAGGTTTGGTACCATTAAAACGTTTAAACCCGCTGCATTTGTTTGCACCTGTCCTAAGTCAGGAATCTGATGTTCAGTAGTTGTCGTTTGTTGATGTGGTTCATAAGTGTTTCTCGTTTCTCGTTTTTTATATAGATTAGACCGTTGGTTTTCCCGTTTGAATGGTTTTACACTAGTAAATTTTTTGGGGCCCTTTATAGCTTACTGTTCGGTGTGAGCCAAGGCTCCGTGTTGAAGACCGTACTGTGACCTATAATGGTTTACTTTTATAAATTTTGACTTGGATGGAGAGTTGTCTCATTGGCACTCATACCACATCTTCTTATATCTATTTGTTATTAGTACCGGTTCCAAGGGCAGTTCGAAATATTTGTCTGTGCCCATTCTTTTCAACATGTTTCGTTTAAAGTCTTTCATGTGCATTATACTTTTCTATCTGGAAAATGTTAACACTATGGTACAAATAGAAGTCGGTAGCACCCAGAATCACTAGTAGATATTGCAATCTTGATTTGTATTCAATTTCATTTATCATAAATTCTTGATCTTTCTTAATTCCAATTTAACAATTTTTACCCGAAAAATATTCCACGACAGATAAGTCACAAAAGAGCATTCACCACAGACTATCTTATTAAAATGTCCTTAAACCAGATACTTCATATTGATAAAACAATGTCATGAAAACAACTTGAAACTATTGACAATAATCATTGCTGTTATAAATCAATATATCTGCATCGCGAATAAGGTCGTGTTCACCTTATGACATCGATTATTGTTCTCTTTGGTCAGTTTCGGTTATATCAGCTTTTCAATAGATGTCATATTTGAAAATAAATGTGATGCACTATACCTTTGTATTTTCTTGAAGACTATTTCTCTTTAGATCCGCTTCTGCATGTTCTTTAGAATTAAGAGGCTGGCCTTCTTCGGGACCAGCTGTACAGTAAACTAAAGAACAATTTAAATGTAAACATGTTTTAGGTTTGTTACATCAAATTCATTTTGATAACTTGTGATTATGATTTATTCACGATAAATTGTTCGTGTTGCTAGAAGGACGGTGGCCATGGAAGTCGGAACCCGCTAAGGAGTGTGTAACAACTCGCCTGCCGAATCAACTAGCCCTGAAAATGGATGGCGCTAGAGCGTCGGACCTATACCGGACCGTCAAGGCAATACGAGCACCCTGGGTGCCAAGCTTTGACGAGTAGGAGGGCCTAGTTTTAATATCCTTTTTGTGTTAAAAATTTGACAATTTGAAAAATCGTTGTTTTTTTTTATATATTATTATTAACGGTAAACTTATTATTTAAAACAATTTTACAAAATTCATTTTGTTTTCATTTTCTTTTACTTGCTTTATCAATTTACAATATGCCTTTTATCTTAAGATCACTCGTGAAATCAATAGATATCATAATGCATTAAAGTAAAAAAAAGAAGCTTTCAAGCATACTTGCTGTTCTTTAGTTTTCTCGTGTTTTTTTTCTACATTTGTCATACCGTGGCACTGTATAGCTTGCCATGCAGTATGAGGTTTGCTTATTGTTGAGATCGTAAGGTCACCTATTACTGCTTACGTCTACATTGGTATATGGTGGCAAGTTGTTCCGACATTGGCAATCATACCGCATCTTCTTATTTTAATAATGTATTTGCAAAGGTAGTACTTGTATTTTTATAAGTCATTAAAATGTTGCTCTTTAAACAAATAAATTTTAAATATCAAACTGTTGCAGTAGGTTTTATTTGACAATGTAACCAGATAGCATGATTCAAGATACACAATCGTCTTTGTCTTCCCCGGGACCCGAACCCGGGACATCTGTGTCACAAGGCAGCGCGTTAACCGACTGAGCTAAAGAAGAACTTCCTTAGTACAACTGCTTACGGCTGACTTGGTATCTACTAATGAAATCCCGTCACAACTATAGATTAAAAAAAAAAATTATAACGTAATGCGGTGTTTGTCTGGATTCCAATGAACTATCAGCATTTGCATAAAACAACATGCACAGTACGTTAGAACTGGGTATATTAGTACGTTTCTCATATTTTATCATTTAATAAAGAAGATTTATGAATGTATGACTGCTTTAAACTGTATGTAACTTAACCCAAATTTTTAATATCATTTTCACATTTACCTGTTTTCGTGCCATAACATTTTTTAATGGTTTTACTTCCTATGTACAAACACTTCTGTTCTGATTATTGCCGGTCACAATGTATAGTTACACAGTTGATTGATTTTGTAGCATTCATACTTGCCTTCTTGGACCCCTTTTCCTCTTTTCTTGCAGTGATAAAAAACGCAAAGAAAACACACGATTACACACGGTATACACAAACCAATGACGGCCCCTTTGAATCCGAAAACATATCCAGGAGAGTCAGAATCTTGAAGAAATGACACTGTATCTATAATAAGAAAGTGAATAAAGTTTAATATGGTGCGGTATTTGCTTGCTGTGTAGAAGACCCATTGGTGGCCTTGAGCTGTTTTCTGCTCTTTGGTCTGGTTTTTGTCTCTTTGACACATTCCCCATTTTAATTCTCAATTTTATTTAAGTTCATCTCAAAAATATGTTTTGAGGCATGAAGTCGTTAATTTTTCTATCAATCCTGTCCTTCCGTCCGTAATTATGTGACTGAAACAAATGGTTTCGAGAAATAACTTTGGTATCATTTGCTTGAATATACAGAACTAATATAAATCTCTTATCCAATATAAACTATTAACATACAGATATGTCTCGCATGTATATATAGTTCCATAGTAAAATGCAAATGCTGAAAATAAAATAGCAATATTTTGAAATGTAAAATATGCAAGTTTTCAAGTCACTGACCCATGCCTAAAGGGACGTGGCCATATTGTTCCGTAAAAAATAAAGATTGGCCAATGTTTATTCACCAGGATGCCAATATCATTGACCTATCGTAAGTTGTTGTTCTCCTTAAACTGACCTAATCAACCTTAACATGTTAACGTATGCAAAAACAAATCGAAGTCAGTGACTGAGGGCACAGGGCCAAATAATCTCCATGGAAATGAGATATTCCAATACTTATTCAACTTATACCAAATATCATTGACTTATCATAAGTTGTTGCCCTTTAACTGACCTAATTACAAATTGTTGACGCCACCGCTACCGCCCCAAACAGTATACGTAATTCTTGTGTTTTGAATCCGCTTAGGCGAGACAATAAACTGTTAAACTATTTCTGTTAACATTTTTTGTGATCGGCAGACGTCACGAAAAGACAAATTAACAGGACAAACATGACACGTCTTGGCCCTACTCAAGTCAAAATTTGAGTTCACCTCCGAAATATTTATGATGATAAGCACTTCTCAGATGGCCGTTTTAATTTTTTTGCCAAACTAAAGATGATATCTTAAAACAGAACATATTACCATTGCAATCTTGCAGATATTTAGTTTCAATAGCACCATCATATGAACCTCCAAACGTGCACACAACTGTCAGGTTGCCACCACATAGGTCAACAGCAGACTGTGACGTAATATTTACTGTACCATGAAAAAATGCACCTTGCAGAAGGATTAATTCTTGCTGGTGTGCACTAAGAATATCACCCTGTAATAAGATAGAAATTACAACAAAACATTATTACTAAAAACGCAGATTTTTTTTTCTAAAATGGCAAAACATCCAATGTTAATACTTGTTTTCTCCTGTTTACCTTAAGTTGTGCATAGGTTGCCAACAGACTCCTTTTTCTTCTTTTGGTATATACCTTTATACCAAAATTAATTACAATAAGTCAATTGCAAGATTTTAAAAAGGCTGACTTTGTTTCATAATACACAAATCAATTTCTTTGGAGTGAAAAGTTCTATTACATATGATTTTAAAACGGGATTGTAATGAGTCATAATTTTCTTCACACCCTATTTCCTAAATCGTCAAAATCAGTGAAAATAACATTTTCTATTCATTTTTCTTTTTACATCTCAAAACCTTTATTTTCAAACAAAGCATGAGAATATTGCCAAATGAATATTACCAAATTAGTGAAAACTGCAGTAGCGTTTTTCTTCCCTGCTGAAAACGAGGAATATGATTCTGACGTTTAGTTTCTTATTCAGTAAAAATGACGAGCAATTTAAAATTGACTAATCAAACACATTTGATACAGATGTGAACAAATGCATGTAGCTGTACGGTCATTTAAACTGAGCAATAAAATCAAGGCCCATGTATCACAACATTGTGAAAAAGAAGCAAGCACAATAGATTTTGAACAAAGAAAATACCATGAAGGAAAAAGGTCACACATATTCGAGTTATTTTGAGTGACATTCTGTTTAATGCATTTGCTGCAGTTGACTGTTGTTGAATATTTGGGTCACAGATTACTACATTATGTTTTTATTGTCGTATCCGGCCTTCCATTTTTTTGTCTTTGACTAAAACATTCTACTTACTACAAGCAACATGACGCGTGCCTCTTGTTGAGAAAGATTTTTACTGGTGTTCCTGATATAACACATCGTTTTTTGTTGGGTTCATGTTGCTCAGTCTTTACTTTTTAAGTAGTGTGTGTGCACTTGTGCGTTTTTGATCGACGTTCGTTTTGTGCGTGCATGTCAGTTTATTTTCGACTACGAGTTGTAAGTACCCATTTGGTATATTTCACCTTTTTTGATAAGGATATATTTTTGTTGTTGAGAATATTGCTAAGCGTACAAATATAAAAATGATCCATGATTACTTAAATCCGTTGTGTAAACTAAAACCATGATAACCCGCCTTCATAACCAAATATGCATATGCATTGATAAAAAGGTAATGATCTTACCATGTATTCATTTTACTTTATTTTGTTTTAAATTTACTCACATTAAACATGGTTCGGCATTTTGGCACTGGAAAGAATCTTTCTATATTCAAATGTACAATGATATTTCTATCACTTATGTTCCACGTAATGTCTATATTTTGCGGCAAACCTTACATAGAAGAAAAACACTAATTACTTATAATAATACCAACAACCGTAACAGACAACTAGTAAAAATTCAATCTTCAAAGGTGAAATATGATTACTTTATTGCAACACAATGATTAGAATTGTACTATTGATAGTTTTGATGTACTTAAAAGTCTTTGAGTAAATCAACATTGAAAGATTCAATCTCAAAGCATACCAGCCATCTCTAGTTCACAAATTGTCTCTCGACGCCAAGAGGTGCAGAGACATATAAATGTCGGGTAACCGGTCTTGTATGCGCTTTCACACGCACAATTTTTGCCAGATTTTGACGAAATTCATATCAAGGTTTTTTTTTCTTTCAGCATTGGCTCTTTAAAATTCAAAAATTAGTGTCTAAGGTAGTAGTGCTCATTGAATATAAAAATTGCATTGCAAATTTCATTGCCTTCATTGCATCAAGAATTTAACGAAATGTGTAACAAAGGTTTACATTAGCCTTCAGCAAATTTGGAATTAAGCGCTTATTAATTATTTTTGAAAAATGGAAATGGAAGTTTGATAGAAAATTGCATTGTAAGCGCACTTGGTTCCTCATTCCTTGACATCTTTTTTTAGGAGACTAATACCAAAGGTTTATACAAATAATCTTTGCAAGATTTCGAAAAAGTGCCAATCAATTATTTTTCGAAATGAAAATTATATGCAAAATTGCGTTGTAAGGACTTTCGGATCCACATTTCTTGTCAGATTTATTATAAATTAATATCAAAGGTTTATGTAAGTTTGTCAGTCCCATTTCAGATGAAGTTTTGGTTTAAGTCAAGTTAAAGTTTGTATTTGGTCACATCAACTTGGAACTAAATACAGATGTAAATATTGACTCAGTGCAGTTTTACAATTATAAGCTGATTTAGGGTTTTCATCCAGATTGCACAGTTTCCCGGGTATGGTGATTTGATTTGCGAGCGGGGCATAGTGTCCTACTGACACAAATTTTTTTTTCATAAATTATTTGAATACAAAGATTTAAGACTCAAGTGAAAACATTTTTTTTTTCGATATACTTTAAAGCATCAGGGCAGGTATTTTAAATTTGAATGTATTTCATATTCAAATGTCTCTTTGTCGTCATATGACATTGTGTAGTACATACATGTGGAATGGCAAAGCTGGTCTTGAAAATACTTTTTTAAAGTTCGTTTTCCTGATCAGTGACTGTTGACTGGCGAATCTTATCTTTAAACTTGGCCTTTAATCATTAAAAAAACAATTTAGGGTTGAAACTTTAACAAGTTCGCTAAAGCGACAGACGAAACCAGAAACAGCAAATTGTATAGCAAAATACATTGTATATCGCTTACAAATGAAATTGGAACTGTTTATCATCACAACTGCTTCGTACGAATACACATCTGACAAACACGTGTATGTTGTATTCAAATCTGATTCGGAGATATTCTTTATTGTTAGAGAGGAACCATCATTTACTTCCTTTCCAGTGTATTTGTCTGAATAAAAGGAGAGACCTTGATGGAGAATAACATCAGATTGTTTCATCCATGTTGTTTTCCCTAAACCTACTGCTGATGTATTGCAGAAAAATGTCACATTTCTTCCGTAAATAGACGGAAGGTCTTCAATCGTCCAATAAACTAAAATGAATTAGAGTTTCCAAGTTAATTGCTATATTGAATACTTGTAAAAAAGCACTTTATTTTGTCAAGTTCTAAATAATTCGTTTTCAACGCTCTCAATGAACAGTAATATTTGAAATAATTTAAAGAGACTTTACAGGTCAACACATTAATTTATCTTTTAAACGAAATGTGTTAATGTCTGCTCCAGTTGACTTAATTTCAAACATAGTAAAGTTGAAGATAAATATATCATTATTCTGTAAAATATCTTGTTTGGTTTGTTGAGGTGACTATCATACTTGTTTCCTTCGACATCCATTGTTTTGGATAACAAAGCCTACAAATAAGTTAAAGTATTAGATTTCTCCAAAATGCAACGAGCAGCATTTTGAAATTAATAGATATTCATTTTTCACGGGACAAAACAAAATATGTTGGTTTTCATTTGTAAAGCTTTTATAAGCTTTGCATGCTACCTTAGTCAATTTAAGTAAAGACCGCTAATTAGTTTATCAACACTAGAAACTATCAATACAAACTCACTTTTATTGGACAATCCAGCCAACACCACAGTTTGCAAACAGTACAGGATGACTAATATCCGATTCATTTATTATGTGCAACTACTTGGAAGGTGATAGGACATGAGTATCTTAACCTTAGTAATAATGTTCACTCATATCAAATGTTGTTCAGTCAGGAAAAATCACACTACCACAAAAAAGAATTAACCACAATAACATTGCTCGTATGGTCCTGCAATTATAAAAAAATCGTGTTTCATAACCAAAAGCAATACAATATATCAATCTTTATGACGACAAATTATATGTATGCCATTGTCACTTTATGTTCCACTATCATTACTATCATTTTTACTATAGTGACAGTAACGCCAACTAAGCAGCTGCCTTTCTGTCAGTGGTGGTGTGGAGTATGGGTTGGAATTATCTTTTGTTATCCTTCTTTCCTTACCTCTTACATAAAAAAAAGCTAACCATCATTGTAAATATGTCTTGTATTGCATTTTTAATTTCCACACTTTATAACATTTTAAAATAAGTACTATTAAATATTTTCTTATGATTGTGGCCTCGTGTCTATTTCTTGCATGAAGAGAAAATAAAGATGAAATATATGACAAGGTTAATGGTTGAATCATGATAAGTATCTGAAACTAATCAGCTGTCGATTTATTTTCACAGAAACGATGAACAAACTTTAGTCGTAAATGAATCAGTTACATGTATGTGTCTAATATATTTATCTCTGCATGAAATAGAATACCAATACATGTAGTTAAGTATATATTGATTTGCACTAAACTCAGAGGTACATATGTTTCAACTAATTTCTAATTATATATATAAGTTGTCACAAGGACACATACTTGTCATCAATTTCACTTAAATATCAGCTTTTGACATTGTCATTTTTTTTAGTACACAATGTCAAAACTAGTTCAGATTTTGTATAGAAAATTTGAACAAAGTTGATCAGAATTTATGATCATATATGACCTTTAAAACGGTTGTTTATATCATGTATATTACTATAATTAATTGAAGACCAATACATAAAATGACCTAAATTCACATAGATATGTTGATTATATTAACTCTTCTGTACTATATGTAAATTAATAGCTCTAATTACATTTTACTATGATCTCACAGTATAATGAATCTTTATAAAACCGTCTCAAGAGTCATATAGTTCATGTCATTTAAAATGGAGTTGTACCGTTTTTTCCTTATGATGTGATATAGCAGCACTGTCCGAGGATATATGGGTGGGGGTGGTGGGAGGGGGAGGATTGAACGTTCTAAAATTCTATATGTGTCAGGTATTCAGTTGTTGTAGTTGGTTGCTGTCGGTGATATTTGTTCATTCTTTATTGGTTTGTCATAAATCAGTTCGCTGTTTTGTAACAATCCTCTTTTGGATTTTATAAACCAATAAAATATCTTATCTTATCTTATCCCAAGAACTGGTATACATACATCCAAGCTCATTGGATGGAGAGTTTTCTCATTGGCATGCATACCACATCTTCTTATTTATATAAAAAGCTAAATAAGTAGTTTGAAGAACCTAATAAATTTGAACTATGTGGATGGCGCTGTGCACCAGTCTGTGCGCAACAGCAACCCAACAACATTAATTGTTTCTTTATTTATTAGATATAGGAAGATGTGGTATGAGTGCCAAGGAGACAACTCTCCATCCAAGTAACAATTTATAAAAGTAAACCATTATAGGTCAAGGTACGGCCTTCAACACGGAGCATTGGCTCACACCGAACAGCAAGCTATAAAGGGCCCCAAAAATTACTAGTGTAAAACCATTCAAACGGGAAAACCAACGGTCTAATCTATATAAAAACGAGAAACAAGAAACACGTATGAACTACATAAACAGACGACAACTACTGTACTTCAGATTCCTGACTTAGGACAGGTGCAAACATTTGCAGCGGTATTAAACGTTTTAATGGTACCAAACCTTCTCCCTTTTTCTGAAACAACAGTATAACATCACAACATAGAAAGACCCATTATAAAATATCAATTGGAAGGCTTAACTCAATCAAAAAACGTAAATTAACACACAATGAACGAATATCTGTGATACCTGAATGCAAATACATAGTTAATAAAAATTATAAGGAAAATAACTAAGGTTAAAAGTAAATAAACAGGTTGAAACAAAGTTAAAGTATGATACCACTGTGAAATGTTAAACAATATTTAGAAAATATCAATTTGAAAAAACTTGTGTCATATTATACACAGGTAAATGAAAATAATTTTGTTGTTAAGCATACTTCTTCTTCTCTGTGTATAAAATCTTCCGTTTAGGAATACCAAGAAATTTCTTTAATATCAATAAAACTTATCTAACACTTGGTACATATGGGGTGAATATCAACAATCAAACTATACAATTAGTGCTAGATAAAATTTTCTGTACAGGTGCAAGAACATTATTTAAGAAGAAATGAAATAATTTTGATGTTCATAGTACGAAGAAGTGAAAATTTGTATTAATTCTAAATAATCAAAGCTGGTATATAGACAAGATCCATGTTAACATTAAATAACAAAAAAGCATTAAAACTAGTATCAACAGGTCAAATTAACAAGAAAGTACGATTTGAGAATACTCTCAGTTACTGGCAGCTAGTTAAAAGCCAAAACAATTAATAATAAAAAAGCATGCATCAGAGACTGAAATAAAAAAAAAAAACACATCCCAGGGATTTAGTAGTTTAACGTCATGAACAGTCAAAGGAGACATGACTTGTGCAATGCCAAAAATAAATGTATCGATAGGTAGTAGGATAGTTAGGAGTGACTTATAGATAAAAATGAACGTGTGTGTGTCTCTATACATCCCGTTTGAAAAAAAAATACAAATTTAGTTATGTTTTAATTTGCTAATGAAACAAATCGATATTAGTGCCAATGTAAACTATATTCAGAGATCTAATTACAACATTGGTACGATAACCCTTACTAATAATTATGTCTACTTTTAATCAATGTCTTTCTTATAGTCTTAAATCAAAGGTCGGATTCGTCCTATGCTTTCCCTCTAGGACTTCTTAAATACAGGTATTCCCGTGTCTTGAATAGGTTTAAGTTTTTTTAAGTATATTATTTACTGCATAGGCGGATGCAGGGGCTGCCGCCGCCGCCGCCCCCCCCCTTTTGTGGGAAAAATTTAGTTGGTTATATAGGGAATCAGTGAAGCACGACTGGAGCGGGCCCTTTCTCGGGGCAGTCAGTGCCCCCATCCCCACCCCCTTATGAAAATTTCCGGATCCGCCACTGTAATAACTGGTTTATACTACAAGTTTACAATTTTTCAATCCTGTGTGTTTAAGATATACAATATATCCTCGATTTTATACCTCAATGTCATGTCATGTAGCTTCTAGGACATTCAACAGTTGTGATAAAGTGTCACTAGTTTGCTAACCTTTGATCTTGTGTGTAGTCCGACTTTCATAGTAACAAACTATCTATACCATGCATCCGGAGATAAACTCTTGTTCAATACAATACGGAGACAAGACAACACATGGCTGTGTAATAAAAAAAGGTTGCCAATTGCACTTTGTGAATTCACAGGTGGTGTTAGTAGTAAGTAAAGTATTTGTTTCAGTTTCATAACAACAAGTATCGAGCTAAATATCGGATGTGATTTTTCTCAGTACTGTATCGTTAATTCTAATCCAAACATGAAGAACATATTTCAATCTGACATTATAGTTAGATTCGGAATAAAAGCTATCACATGTTCAAAGCTATCACAAGTAAAAGAGCAGCGAAGGATACCAAAGGGACTAAGCTAGTCTAGTGATGAAGTTTCAACCAGATAAAGATGTTACAGACTGACGGACAAAATATAACTAGCCCGACCTACTGATAGTGATCGTTTCAAGGGAACAAACAAATGTATAGCCAAACTTTTCGATAGCTACTTTTCAGGTTCAAAACTATTAAAATAACCAGGAAACCAAAATATACAAATTAATCATAATAAGGATGTAATTCAAGGAAAGGTTAAACAAAAAAATCTCGTTCTGTCCTGAATATGCATACGGCAGGACTGAAAGTAACATTTCAGCAACTTAAACTTATAAACCAAAATTCACACTATATAAGTAAAAAATATCAAACCGACATAAAAAGTCCCCCAGGGAATCAGGTAAAATCTAAGTAATTTCTGTACAAAGGGGAGTAACCAGTGTTATTTTAATTTACTCAGACAAGGAACATGGCTTTTATCTGATATAATATAATTCAGTAAAGTACAATTTTTAATGGACACATTATTGATTATTGATAATTGGCAATCCACCAACGGTTCAGTGTCATGTTTTGTTTCGAAAAGTCCATTAGATACAGCCTACGCAAAAAATGAAGTCATTTGAAATTCTCTTGCCACTCGAACTTACGAATTATTTATTATTATCTCCTAAATGCGTATATATTGTAGAA